ATAAGGTCAAATGAGCGTGCGGGACACATTAAACTTTTTCAGTTTGTAGGAAATTTTGAATTTTGCCCAAGTGGAGGCCGAAGCCTACTCTAATCGATTTAGACCACCAAGGGATCTTAAACGGGTGCAACTTGCACACGGGGCCCCCGAGATTTTTCACCCTTGTCCGAGAAAGCTAGGTGTAGATCTTTCCTACCAGAAGATCAAGGGTGTGGCTGAAAGACAGAAGTAAGAAGGAGCCAAGGAGTAGCAGTAGAAAGGCTGCAGAAGGGGTCAGGAGCCCACAGGAGGGAGCAAAGGAGGTGAGGGGGTGGGGGCAGAAAGAGGAGACGAAAGCAGACGACAGTACATTGCTAAATAGCAGGAAAGGAGGTGAAAGGAGACAATTTTAGAGAAGATTTTTCGGTCTCTATTCGGATTCGAACCCGGGACCTTTGAATGAGAGGCCAACACCTTAACCTCTAGGCCACGAGAGCCCCCCTCCTTCCCACTTTGCAATAAAAGAAGAAAAACAAATGATACACACCTGTCTTTCCTTTTTCTGCCTTTGTTCTGTTGTGGAGTACTGGCATCAACGTACTATATTTATGTCTGTTGAAATCACCCGCCTGGCTTGACGGGAGAAACTTCAGAACGCGGCTTTTTGATCGGTCCAATTCATGACCGTTACAAAATTGTTTTCCTTCCAAACAAATACAGATGAAAATGAAGAGAATGAGACATCTAAAACGGTTTTCATTCATTCTCATCTGGAATCCAGTTGTTCCTTCGCAAAAACATGTACACGATGTCCCAGAAAAGACCGCCATAGATTTATACCAATATACCTTCGAGGTAGCAACAATACAAGAAAGTGAGCCCAATCCAGTCGTGAAGGAAGGGACGCAGAATAAAAAAGTTGGGAAATTTTGTCGTCCTTCATACTTCCTCTATGCTTCCATTGGTCTTCACTTGCAAAGTGACGACCAATTAAGCTATGTGAATCCTGTGGAGAGATTCACAATGTCGCTTGAAGTTGAAGGGAAGTTGATGAGAGATTATAATAAGCATCTTTATTTTATATCATCGAAAGTGTTTTCGGAAAAACCTCTCAAGCAACATGACATTGAATCAGTAACGTCAGAGTTCAGGGTACTTAACTTTAACTTTAAGTGGTTTATTTTTTAAGCACGGTATGACGATCACCGAAACTTTTTTTTTTTAAACAAAAAGAAACAACAAATCAAAACAAAACAAGACAAAACAAATCAACAAGCAAACCAAAACTATAACAAAACTTCATGAACTGCTTACTTTATTTACGGTAGCTAGCCACATACTTCAAATAAGACTAATAAATGTCTGTAACAATCTACAAGCTTGGTCAATTTCAAGTAAATGGTTGAAGGGTACCACTGGTCCGAACCAAAACTCTCTGGTCGGCACTAATTCCCTCAGATGCTTCCGTCTATCAGTCTTATTTCTTCTACGACATCACCGTCAAATTATTTTATTCTTAGTTTTAGTAAGAGTTTACAGCACCTACCACAAATAGGTCATACAATTGCCAAAGATTAGAGCTGTTACTTGAGAGTAATATACAAAGAAAAGAAAGAGAAGGATAAGGGCGATATAGATATTTGATAGGAAAGCAGGAGCAAGGAGCAAACCACACTAGAGCACTCGCCAACCGCCCACCCATCAATAAGTCACAGTATAAAAATTGCAATACGCTAGTCTGACATAATCGTTAGATTCCTCATCGACGTGTTTGTTTGTTGTTGTTGTTGGGTTTTTTGTTGTTGTTGTTGTTGTTGTTTTTTTTTTTGGGGGGGGGCTGCTCCAAGGTCGTGTTTACATCGGCTCTTATTTAAATGGCAAAATCATGTAAACAATATCGCTTAGAAGGTAAATCAGAGGCTGTACTTTCTGAGGAAACTTAGGTCTTTCAATCAGAATCAAACCATCCTTCAGGTATTCTACACCACCACAAGAGAAACTTTGATAAATGTTGGTATCACTTGCTATGGTAGCAATTTGGGAAGGCAGCACGTCATAGAAATAAACAAGTTGATCAGAGAGGCATCAAGAACAATTGGTAGGACCTGCGTAACTTTGAATATAAATCTGCATAAAACAAAAGTTTTAAAAAAAGCGGAAATAATGCTTAGTGACCATAGCCACCCACCGACATCGGAATTTCAATTGTCGACCCGCAGTTAACGATACATTTCCAAAAAAGCAAGAACAGACAGATTTAAAGAAATTCATTCGCACCAACTGCAGTGAGGTTACTGAACCCACAGTGCTACAAATTGTCACTTTTAAGGACAAGCGGGCTAACCCAGATTTCAGGGGTTTCCAGAAATCTTGACCTAGATCAAAAGCGGGCATTGCCCTACCTATAGGAGAAGTTTGGTTTCATTAGTGTGTATATTTGTTTGGTTATAGTTATAGAGAAAACTCTCCTTGTCTTTTAAAGAAATTGAACAAGGGGCAAAATCTTTACCTTCGATTTTCTCAAAACAGCATTTTTCGGGATAGCCCCCTTGTGCTTAAAAGCGGCCAAATGAAACACAGAGAGTGAGTGTGTGTGTGTGTGTGTGTGTGTGTGTGTGTGTGTGTGTGTGTGTGTGTGTGTGTGTGTGTGTGTGTGTGTGTGTGTGTGTGTGTGTGTGTGAGAGAGAGAGAGAGAGAGAGAGAGAGAGAGAGAGAGAGAGAGAGAGAGAGAGAGAGAGAGAGAGAGAGAATGTTTTACGGGGCGGGTTTTCCAGCACGTGAGACATGTAGGCCAAGTATTACTAATGTCTTGTCTTGTTGTGCGTTTGCGTGAGTGCACCATACCTTTGCAACGTCTACTGCCATTGTTAATGACCTAGACAAATTTCTCCCTGCGAGATGAATAAAGATTGTCATTGTCGTTGTATATGGTGTAGCGGTTAGGCACTTCGCTGTCGCACACCGAAGACCCGAGTTTGATTCCAGTGTGGAGAGAATCTTTACCGAGTACAAATCTCGATCTTTCTGCTGAAACGTTGTGCCTTCTCAGCCCGGGTTGGCCCAGGTAGCCAGAGTCGAGGCTTACCCCTCTAATTGATCTAAACTGTGTCTATGGGGGCGAAAAAACGCACTTAATTTGTTTCGTTAAACCCCTCATTTATCGTCACCATGCCTTTCTCACCCTGTAGCAGCTAGGCATAAGCCACGCACAAACTCTTTCTATCTTTCCCTCTGGCATGGAAAAAGTCAAAATTACTTTTCTGAAGACTTACTTCTGTCTTTTAGTTTTAGCTTATGGGGCTAAGAATACTAAGATTTAGTGCACAATGCAAAAAGTTTCATCAAATCTTTTATTAATTTGATTATTGATTATACAGGGTGATTAAAAAAGAATACGCCAAAATCATCACGTGATATTTCAAAAACGAAAAAGAATAGAAAACTCCAGCTTGAACACATGTTGGTACATACCTTTAAGTTTTCATTTCATGTCTTGCTTAGTGATCAATGTGGCCACCCCGGCAACATGAAGAGCACGAAGCTCGAATGAGAATTCCTCCCAAACGCGCCTCAGGATGTCTCAGTCCACCGTTTTCATTGTAGCTGTTATTCTATCTTTCATGTCATCGATATTTGCTGAAAGTGGTGGAACATAAACTTTGTTTATTTGCATACGCCCACAGGAACTGGCTATTCACTTTACTGCAAGCAGATTCGAATAATTTCATTTTTCAACAAGATAGAGCACGGTCCCGTTGGCATCTCGGGGTTCGAGCTTATCTGAATGAAAACGTGCTTTGGTGATGGATTGGTTGGAGAGGTGCTAAAGACCTCGTCTCTACGCTTGGCCTGCCAGAACTCTGGACCTCACCGTGTGTGACTTTAGCGTGTAGAGGTATGTATAAGACAAAATGTATGTTCCACAATTTCCAGAATATATTGTGACATGTAAGATCGAATAAGTAGCAATCAACACAGTACACCGACATATTTTGAAGCGCTTTTGGGAGGAATTGTCATATCGGCTTCATGTTGTCCGTGCTGCCGGTGGTGGCCACATGGAGTATTTGTAGAACATGAAATTAAAAACTTAAGAGTATGTAGTACATGTGTCCAAGCTAGAGTTTCCTTGTGTACTTCGTTTTTTAAATAGCGCGTTATGATTTTGGCGTATTCTTTTTTTAATCACCCTGTACATTAGATTTATGTAGTTTGATGAACTTGGGTACGGTCAGATCTTCTTTCACCGAAAGGCAAAAGCTAGCATTTTAAAACAAATTTGATCAAATCATCCAAAATCAAACACATTATTATTACAGTGGAAACCTGATATAACAGGGTTGGTAGGAGTAGAGAAAATGTCCTGTTATATCCGATCCCTGTTAAATCAGAAATGCAAGGAAAGTAAGCTTTTGTGGACTAATCCAGCTGTACTTATTCATGGGTAGTTTCCTTTGCCCCAAGTACCCACGAACAGGGGTTTTGGCACAAACTTTCTCCTTGCCCCCTTCAACCAATTCAGAAGAGCTTGGTCCACAGCATCTGCATCGGGTAGTCTCATTTTCTTTCGATCCAGAGCAAACTTTCCATAGGAGTAGGAGTATGCTGCCACTATCTTCTCTCTATCCTTGATAATGGTGTGAATCGACCCTTGTGGAATGTCGAACTGACGACAAAATATCTACCAGTGGAGCTTGCTTTTCGTTAACAGCCTGGATTATTTCGTATTTTTTTGTTAATTGAAAGGCATTTTCTCTTGCGCTTGACATCGTTGGTGACACATTACGCGTGCGTCTTGCTAGGTTTTGGGCT